TGAAAGCCACTGAATACACCAAACCTTCTTTTGAGCTGAAAAGCAATTGAGCTTCCTTTGTTTCTTTCTTAGCTGGTGTTGTATCCTGCCGAAGAGATCCTGTTTCCATGCATATTCCAGAAAACGTACAAGGAAAATGACAAGAATCATTTATTTGGGCTCCCAGGTGGCTCACTGGTAAAGAATCTCTCTGCCAATGAAGGAGATGTGGGTTCAAGACTTGAGTGGATAAGATCCCCTGGAGGAGGAGATGGCAACCCACCCCAGTATCCAATACAGAGGAGCCTGGCAGGTTACAGTCCATAGGCTCACCAAGAGTTGGACATGATTGAAGTTACTTAACACACAGCACATACATAATTAGGTATTATTCCTTTAATGTCACATGATTTAACCAAATGTCTTCTATTTCCTGCACCATATTTATATCTTCAGTATATCACTAGAGTATACATATTATTTTGATATACCACAAATAGTTTCTATATTTCAGCACTGTTGGGATCTTAGCTTCTTTTGGTATTTTAATATCATAAAACAAACATTGTATATGTCTACTTTTGTTTTTTTATTAAACATTATTTCCTCAGGATAAATTCCATTACTTAATGGGATGGGGGGCTGGAACATATTTATGATTCTTTCAATAAAGTGCCATTTTACCCTTCAGAAAGACTGGCTTCCTTTATATTGCTGTCATTAATGCATGATATCTGCTTTCCTCAAGGCTTGCAGGCTTTGAGTTTTATCACTTTTCAGAAGTTTTTCTTGTTCTATTTTTAGGTACAAAATGAAACTTCACAGTAGGTGCATTTTACAGCTATTTTACCAACAAAGTTGGCTGCATAGTTTTAAAATCATGATTTAAGATCATGTTTCTTCTTGTATGATTGAATTTTAATCATTTGTTGGATGGGCAGTTAGTATTTTTGCCCATCTATTTGTGCTCTTTATACTTTTCAGTTATTGAACTTTTGTTTATGTGCAAACATTTTCTCCATTTCTCTGGATTTTTAAGATCTTAGCTTTATTGATGTTCATTCCATCAAAGCTATAACTATCTGAGTAATGAACCTGTCCATCTTTTTTTCATTTCTATTCCATCAAAAGTCAAAAAATGATTTCCCCTAGTGCTCGTCTGTTCACATTCATGAGAGTGCATTTGTTTTGGCTTTTAAGTATTTAACTTTCATTCTACCTGGAATTTTTTGGAGAGTATTGGGGAAAGTGTGAGTCATTTTAATATTCTCATTATTGATATTCTCTTATACCAAGAGTGTCAAATTGGTTGCTGATAGATTTCAATGTCTGCTAGGACAAATTCTTCTCATAAGTCCCTTTGAATCTAGAATACTCCTTGGTATTCTTTCCCATTTATATTTCAACATAAAACCAAAATTACATTAATTCTATGAAGCATTTTGTTTCTAATCAGTGGCTGGTCACCCGAATCCAATGTCCTATGCTGAGTTGAGACTGCGTTATGCTCTGGTATGGTTCAGTCTACCTCAGTTTTGCTCTTGTCTTTTCAGGATTTTCAGCAGAAATCTCCCTGGTGAGTCCAAAATTCTAATCCTTGTCTCACAAGATTTTGGAAGGCTCTGTCCTGCTTCAGAGGCTTTCTGCTTCTGTTTTTAGAACTCTTGACTCATGCATCCCCAGAATTTAACAGATGCCCTAAAGGAAACTCCCAGATCTCCCATAGCTCTGCTGGTCTGTTTCATAGCAGTGGTCTTCCCTGGATGTGAGACATGGAATTATCAGCCTCGGGCCCATGCCCAGAATCAGCAACTAACACCTGGGTGAAGTGGCTGCAAAACTCAGCCCTCCCTCTTCAAAATTCTCCCTTTCTGGAGTCTCAGCCTCTCCAGTTCTTCTTGACTTAGCAGCTCTCTTTTACCTTAAAATAAACGATTTCTCTATTGCGTTTCAATTTTCTGTTTGCTTTAGGTATGAACGCTGGCTGTCACTGGCTAATCCATCTCACTTGAAAAAAAGTTCATTTCCCCTTAAACGTTTTGTTTTTTCTTATATTTTATTTATTTATTTTTGGCTGTGCCATGCAGCACGGGGGGTCTGTTACCCAATCAAACCCAAATTGACTACCCAATCAAATTTGCCTTGAAAACACAGATTCTTAACCACTGGATTGCCAGGGAAGTCCCCCTTCTTCTTATATTTTAAAACAAACAAACAAATTTAAATTGAGATATAATTGACCAACAACATCATGTAAGTTTAAGGTGTACAATGTTAAATTTGCTTGTCTTGATACATTTATATACCATGTATTTATATTGTATACATACACACACACAGATATATGCCTATTATGTACATTTGTATATATACTGTAGGAGCTTTGGACTTCCCTGGTGGCTCAGATGGTAAAGAATCTACCTGCAATGCAGGAGACCTGAGTTTGATCCTGAGGTCAGGGAGATCCTCTGGAGAAGGGAATGGCAGCCCACTCCAGTATTCTTGCCTGGAGAATCCTATGGACCGAGGAGCCTGGCAGGCTATAGTCCATGGGGTCACAAAGAGTCGGACATGACTGAGCGACTAAACATACAAGTACGCACAGGAGCTTTAGCTAACACCTTTAAAATTTACTTATTTGACATACTTCTATTAGGGGAGGAAAAATCTCTTCCTCTACCCATCTGAGGTTCTCTGCCTAGAGCCCTGTAAATAGGACTGATGAACTACAGATTAACAAGAGAAAAGCAAACAGAAGTTTACTAACATGTGCATCACACACGTAACACATGGGAGTACCTAGAGATGAGAATTTCAAAGATTTGGTTAGAACTTGAGCTTATACAGCATCTTAGCAGAGGAACAATAAATTTTTAGAGGAGTGGTAAGGAGTGATAAGTCAAAGGAAAAGGACATTGAGTCCGTGGGAAGGCAAATGCATGGGGAAACTAGTGGTAGACAAAGACCAGTTAGTAGAATTTGTTGTGCAGACTTTTCCAGTGCTATCTCTAGGCTGCTATGGGTCTAAAGTTTTTTCCAGTGATTAAGCTTTGTTCTTCCTGGTAGACAGAGGAGAGATACCATTTTAAATTTATGTCCTGAAAACCATGCTTCTCCTGAGCAAGTCTCAGTGTTATCTGAGGGGTTGTATTCTGGCCTATATTCCACGGTTTGGCTCAAATAAAACTCTTTTCTATTCCTATTATAGATTGTTTATTGATTACTTTGTGGATAGAGGTATGCATCAGATTCTTATGTGTATCCCTTGAGGAGGAACCAGGACCCTGACCGTCACTGCACAACTGTTTCTTGACCTCTTTTCCTTTGTTTCTGCATTCTCTCACTCTAATTAGCAACTGTTTGAACCTTCCCTTAGGAACACAGGGAAGATCTGGGAGGCTGAAATGTTGTCCCTACAAACAAGAAATAGGGGACATGGGAAGGCTTTTGTACCCAAGAGGACCCTACGGTGTTCTGCTCAGTTTTGTGGTCCACCTAGAGAGGGCATGGAAGTTCCATGACCTTTCCCCCTATGCATCTCTTCCATCACCCACACAATGGACATAAGTTTGAACAAACTCTAGGAGATGGTGAAGGACAGAGGACCCTGGAGGGCTGCAGTCCTTGGGGTCGCAAAGAATTGGACATGACTGAGCAACTGAACAACAAAATTTCTTCCATCTGGCTGTTTCTGAGTTATATCATTTTATAGTAAATGGTAATCTAGTGAGTAACCTGGATTCCTGACTTCAGTGAGCTGCTCTAGCAAATTAATTGAGCCTAAGGAGGGGGTTGTGGGAACCTCTGATTTTGTAGCCATTTAGTCAGAAGCACAGGAACAATCTAGACTTGTAATTGGCACCTGAAATGGAGGACAGTCTTGGGAGACTGAGTCCTTACCTGTGGAATCTGATGCTATCTCCAGATGGATAGTGTCAGATTTGTGTTGAATTGAAGGACACTCAGCTGGTGTTGGATTGCTTAGGGGAAAATCCCACATACTGAAATTGGGTGCAGAAACTATCTTTAGGGAAACATCAAATATCTCAATATTATTCATAATTCTTTTTTTTTAATTTGGAGACAAAGGTGACCTGATTTGTCAATGCCTAGTGAGCCATCTCAGAGAAGGCAATGGCACCCCACTCCAGTACTCTTGCCTGGAAAATCCCATGGAGGGAGGAGCCTGGTAGGCTGCAGTCCATGGGGTCGCTAAGAGTCAGACACGACTGAGTAACTTCACTTTCACTTTTCATTTTCATGCACTGGAGAAGAAATGGCAACCCAGTCCAGTGTTCTTGCCTGGAGAATCCCAGGGACGGGGCAGCCTGATGGGCTTCCGTCTATGGGGTCACGCAGAGTCAGACACAACTGAAGCGACTTAGCAGCAGCAGCAGCAGCAGTGAGCCATCTGGGTAATCCAGTTCTAATGCTGGAAAGGTGAAACAAAAACTTTTGGAGCAAGGAGGGACAAGTGTACTCTAATAGGTTACTATGTATGCTTTCTTAGGAGAGAAGACGTGAAACCTGCAGCCTACTTTTACTTTTGTAGTAATCTATGTGTTAAGGAGGAAAAATAATAAGAAATGTGATTTTTACAGCTGAACATGGCAGCAGTGAAGTCAGTAGTAGTTAAGTCTGTCGTGATACTATGTAGCAACAGCTACACACAAAACTGGGCTTCCCAGGTGGCTCAGTGGGTAAAGAAACTGCCTACAGTGCAGGAGACACAGGAGATAGGGGCTCAATTCCTGGGTCCCCGCGAAGATCCCCTGGCGGAAGCCATGGCAACCCACTCCAGTATTGCCTGGAGAATCCCATGGACAGAGGAGCCAGGCAGGCTACAATCCACAGGTCACAAAGAGTTGAACGTGACTGAAGCGACTGAGCACACATACATAAAACCAAGCAAAGACATCTGCCCAAGCGGTACGCTGCACACTGCATGTATTTCAGGAAACACCCAAAATCTCAACCTTAGGAAAAAAAAAAAGGAAATGGAAAAGAATACAGACAATATGTTCCTAAAATGGAAATAACTTTATTTATAGCAGATATTGATAATAATACCTTCCACAGAGCAAAAGCAGTAATCCAAAGGCTCGACAACCACTCACACTATGAAACTTGCACACACGTTGCAATCAAGGATCCAGACCTTAGCAGGAACCAAACTCATCTTTTTTGAAGCTAAAATATCCATAGACACAAAGCAACTAATTATAACTCTAAGATTTTAATGAATCACCAAAAACTAAATGTCTAATCTGATTTGAAAAAAATATATGTATCATTTACCTTAAATTTCCTCAACTCTCTGAACAAAGAAAAAAATTCTGGGGTTTTAAATTTTTCAAATAGGACTTTCTCAGAGGAAATCTACTCTGAGTACTGTGCAGGAATCTGTTTCTGAGAGAAGCTCAGAATAATGGGAACTCCTCAGCCTGCTCCATGGAGGAGAAGACCCCTGTAGGAGACAGTACAACTCTGGGACAAAAGCCTTGGAGTCACCCTAAGTCCTTCAAACTCCAGCACCAATACTTATTATGGGACCTTTGTCAAGGTACTTACCCTCTCTGCGCATCAGCTTTCTCAGTTATAAGATGGGGATACTAATAGTATCAATCGCTCAGATACAAAGCTCTTATAAAGGGGACAAAATAAATACACAATATCAACTATTACTGTCTGACCAAAAAATTTGTATGCATGTATTTTTAAGAAAACAGCATCTCATTCATCATTTATGGAAAAAGACTGGAACATGGATAACGACATAGTTTGCTATTAAAACTTTCTCGTGAGTTGGAAAACCACTTAGAAGTAAATTTTGACATATTGACATTCCTTACAGTAGGCACAACTCGAGTCTTTTCTCTGTGCAGTCATTATAAGGAAGAAATAATTTAAGGGAGAAAGCATGACATGGTGGGACTTAGCAAAAGGAAGGAGAAGGTGCTGTGGGGGCTACAGTTACTAGAAAGTGATAGACTACGGACATTTTTGTGATTTATCTATTTAAAACTCGAAGTGGGGTATGCATAAAAGTACAATAATATCCAGAGAGAAAAAATGTTCAGAGATGTGTAGCATTACTATGGCAGGGAAAGTGCACACAATTCGGCAGATTAGAAGGATCAGCAGGGAGCAAGGACAAAGTCTGGCCAGTCAGAGTTCAGAGGCCATGAGTTCTGGAGTAACAAACTCATTTTCCGCAATAAATGGTGAAGACTCCAGAAATGGCTTCCAAAGCCAATGGCTTCCAAGAGCTCTGCCAAAGATTTAGGGAATATATATTTCTCTGCTGGGTTATTAGCAACTTGAGTCAGGCAGCAAAAATTTATTAAGCATCAACTATACACCAGGTTCAGTGTCCCAAACCCTGGTGTCTCAGAGAGTAAATCTGTCTGCAGTGCATGAGATCCAGGCTTGATCCCTGGGTCAGGAAGATCCCTTGGAGAAGGAAATGGCAACCCACTCCAGTATTCTTGCCTGGAAAATCCCATGACAGAGGAGCCTGGTGGGCTATAGTCCATGGGGTTGCAAAGAGGTGGACATGACTGAGCAACTTAAAGAGAGAGATTTCATTTATTACCAAAGGTTGCTCAATTTCTGTCCTTGCCACCTTTCTGGCCATGGGATAGGGAAAGGAATGTGGTTCCTAATTTTTCACAACCAAAGCCTTCCTCCCCTCCCCTGCCTCCATTCAGATTAGGATTTTACTTTTAGGATAGAGTTTAAAGGGCAAACAAACCAAACTAAAGGACTAACGCAGAGAGAGCAATAAAAGGAGGATCAATTGGCACTGAGTACTTCAACTGAACAACACAGAAGGTGATTTCAAATTCACAGCACTCCACCCCTGTAACCCCAACAATGATGACATGCGAATGAGGTGCAATACCTCTGCAGCGAAATTACAAAGATCTCTGGGGCTTTTTTTGTCCATAAAATATAACACTCCAGAAATGAAAACCTTGCATATACTTCTTGAGATGAAAAAAATTTTAAGGTGTTTTTACACAAGGATTTAGATTAGAATTTACTCTACTTCTTCAACTGCGCCTTTTGGAAGCTTGGCTCGAGACATCTTTTTAATACAGTCTTTTTACTCAATTCCTTTATCTTTAAGCTCTTGTTTGACACGTTTCAGATAGTTAGGATCAGGGTAACCATACCTGCAGAAGAAAAGATGCCCTTAGCTTCACCACAGATGTTTTTTAAAAAATTTGTACAGTAGGTCCTTGGCATTAACATTCAGAATTGCAGATATTTACAAACCATCCTGAAGGCTGATGACGGACAATCAATTCTAAGTGTGCTGAGGTGAATCATTTAGCTGGTGAATAGGTCTAGCTATCTGCCCAGGATCTGCCTTCTAACAAGACTTCAATTTCAGCTCATGGTTAAGCAATGATTCTCATAAAGTTATAATATACTGTATTTCTATGGAGGGTAATCATTTTGCTATAGGAAGATTTTCAAATTTGGGAAATTAAGTCTTAGGATATATTCCCTTTTGAATACTAAGGGTCTGAGGTATTCTATCTGAATTTCATAAAGAGCAATTGGATCGCCCATGATACAACTTCCATCACCATTAACTAAGACTTTTCTAGAGTTCTACTAGTCAAGTGAATTTAGGATCTTTACTGGACTTATGGGAGAGGAGGGTAGAAGAAAGGGTGATCTTAAAAGAAGGCAAAGTGACATTCCTAGGATCTACCCTTTAAATAGATGTGAAGGGTATTAAAATTATACCAAATTAAATCACCTTAGATACCATTTATCTTGCATTCTGAAGATCCACTGCCCTTTGATGCAAAATTTATGAACTGCATGATACTTTGTGGTTGGAAGGCAGAAGGTCATGGGAACCAGTCTGTCTTTGAGATTATCATCCCTGATTAGCATCTGTTCAAATACTGCATCCAGTCTCATTGATATAAACTGTCTCCTTACAGTCACATCTTCAAATTGCCATGTTTTATGATCTCTAAATTCTATTTAGCAGCCATTCTGTTTCAAAAGGTTCTCACCTTTGTGGTCCCCCAGTGCAGGACGTTTTGTGGTGGATATCATTCCATGTAACGACATCTGGGATTCCTAATGTTCGAGACTCCCCTACTGTGAAAATCAGTTTTTGGTCAAAGGCCCTACGAAGCAGATCCAAAACCTCGTTTCCTTCCCTGTTATCAGGCAAGTATGCAGTTCGCTGTATTCCAGAAAATCTCTTCCCTGGGTTTGGGTGCTCTTTCTGTATGAAGGCAAGAAAATGTCACATGAAAACATCCGTGTCTAAATTTTACTACATGTGTAGATATGTTCATATGCAGATAGAGCAAACAAAAAACAAAAGCACTGAAGATCTGCTCATACTCCCCAAATAATTCATATTTCTTCTCTTTCCCCAAATTCATGCTGGGAATACAATCTTCTTTCCAGTGCACAATCACCACCCACCCCTTCTCTGCCTTAATAGACAAGATATCTGTTATAAGTAAACAAAGTACTTTTTACTACTTACAAAGTGAACTTTATAAGCATTTAAAATCCTTTCATATGACCATGTAGATAACTATCTGGGAAATCTACTGCCAATTGGTAATAGAACAGTCCTTGTTGCTCTGATAATCTCAGTTTACTGAAAAGAAATACATGGAACTCAGAAACACTTACTGTTTGTATGCCTCCTTCAATAGTATAAGTAATCATAATGGTGTCACAGGATTCATAACCTGGAAGTGAGTTTCTTAGAACCATGGTGCTCATTCTTCCATCTGGCTGATTCCCTTTCTGGACACCATAGGAAGTCTGGCACACAGGACAGACTGGCTTATATGAGAAGGCTTCTCTGATACAATGGCTGCAGAATTCATGCTTGCACTTTGAGAGCACTTGTTTGTTACTAATGGTGTTCAAACAGATGGCACATGTGTCCTGTTCCTCATTCACTTCTGACACCTCAGAACTGGCGGGGTGCTGCAATGTTGGTGAAGCTGTTTTTGAATTATGACTATCAGTATCCATGAGTGTTTTATTCCATTTCTCTGTAGCTGATGGAGACACCCCCCATCTGTTTAAGAGATACTGTTTTGCCTTTGTAAGATGATTCGGCAACCCAATCAAAGTCATTGACTCTCGATTTAGCACAAAGTGTATATCTGGATGCCTTTTTCTAAAATCATCAGAAAACTTTGTCCCATGTAAGTGTTTTCTCTCCTTGCCCAAAAGTTTCAGTGAAAGAACTTCTCTCATAATCTGACAAGAGACATGTTGATAGGTGTCGATGAAACTTGAATAAGCATGCATGGATAGATCTAATTCCTTGGTTTTGGGTTCAAATCGAATGCAGGTTTTCTGATTTATCCCCAAAATGTTACTTTGAGTGTCATACTTTTTTTCTATCTTTGATATCTCCTGGGATAATTCTGCTTCTAAAAGCTTATAGTGAGCGGTATCAACCTCAATTCCCTTCATCATATCCTTAGGAGTCAATATTTTCACAGGTGGCTTGACAAGACTTTTAAAGTTTTTTGAGGCAAGAAAATGTTTGGCAGCTGAAATGTCATCTGAGGTCCCAAGGAGAGTTAATTCTCCTCCTTTCTCCTTTATGAGGAGCTTTGCAAACTGGTGATTTAACACCTCTTTGATTTTGGTTGCCTGCTTACTGTCTGCTAGCACAACACGTTCCTGCGTCAGAGTCTCTACACGCTTCTGAAATTCTTCGACAAAATCCTTGCGAGCTGCTTCGAGGTTACCTGATTGACTGGAGGTGAAGTCTAAATAGACCATATTCGGAGAACTCGTCTGACTTTTTATTTTTGTACCAAATCTTTTCTCTATGGAGGCTATTTTATCAGGGCAGGAGTGTGTGAAGTATTCAAAGAAAGCCAAGGGAACTTCAAAACGGCTGCCTTTTTCTTCTGACCTGCTTTCTGGTTCGAAGGGAGAAACACAGCTGTTCCTGTCCTGCTGACTGAGTGGCTCCCTCTCTGATGTCAAAGGGGAAGATTCATGTTTCTGCTCCCTTTCCAGGAGCTGGTCACTTAAGAACCCATGTATTTTTTCAATATCTTTGAAGTTACCACAGACTTTCTCAGTTCCATCATGGCCCTTCACTAGTTTGACATTGGGGTAGAGAACAGCGATGCGGTCCCTTTGCTCTTTAGAGAACAGTTGGCAGTTCAGTTCCGCCGTGACAGTAAGAAAGATCTGAAATTTTAAAAGGGAACAAATAAAATATATTAAACATCCAGGTCTATGTTCTCCTCTCAGGAGAATGTCTAGAGATGAGAGACATAACCATGACAACTTCTTTCAATTCCTTTCTGCAGAGCAGGCAATGTACTGCAGCCCAGAGGCACCCCTGCCCTGATAAAATAGCCAGTCCTGTTTGCACACTGGAATCGCCCAGGGAGAAAAAAAAGCTGAGGCCCAGGCCCATCTTCAGAGATTGTGATGTAAATGTAGCATCTGGGCATTAACATTTTTAAAAATTCCAAGGACAAAATGTCTGGATTCTAGAGCTGCCACTGTTGGTTTGACCTTGGTGAGTCGGGTGGAGGCTAGGCATTTCATTTTCTGGGTAAATTGCTATGTTTCTGACTAAAGGGTGTGAGTCTGGGAGGGGGCCATACATGTGAGGATGAAGTTTCTTCCTATTATTGTTTTTTCTCTCCTATGCTCCTTCTTTAAAAAAAAAAAAAACTAACCCCCTAACTGCGTGTAATGTTGCTAGTCCCTCTAAACCATGGCCTTTAGAAACTCAAATATGAGAGAAACCCCANAAAAAAAAAAAAAAAAAAAAAGGACAGTGGCAAATTGAACATAATATAAAAGCAAGATTTCTAATGTTTTGTTCTCCCTCAAAGTCTTCGCATAAGCTGTTCCCTCTGCATGTAACACTTTTCCTCTAGATCTTCCTTCAAAATGTTTCCTGAATCCAGCTACTTCTCACACCTCCATCAGGACCACCCAGAGTCCAAGCCAATGTCTTCTGGCACCTGGCTCACTGCAGCCCCTCCTAATTGGACTCTGACCTTCCACCTCTGCATTTTCCTAGATTCAGTCCTCCACACTGCAGCCAGAGGGATCCTTTAGAAATGTCAATCAGCTCACTCTACCCCCCTGCTCAAAACTGCCTAAGGATTCTCCTGATATCTAACTTGAAATCCTCAGTCCTGACCTTCACCCCGCGGAGACCAGACTTCTGCTGCCTCTTTCAAGGCCCTCTCTCACCCTCTTGCCCTCTGCCCTCTAGCCACACCCGTCTCCCTCCTTGAAGCTTCTGGGCTCGGGAGGTGTGTCTGGGTATGTTGGGAGTGGGGGTGGCTGTGTCAGCTTTACACCTGTTATTTTCCCTCTGCCTAGAATCTTTTTCCCCTAGAAATTCACTTAGCTAGCTCCCTTACTTTATTCGTGTGTCTACTCAGAAGTCACCTCATTTGAGAGGTTTTTTTCCCGATATCCTATTTAAAATAGTAGTCCTTTACTATCATTTATCCTGCTTTACGGGCTTCCCTGGAGGCTCAGTGGTAAAGAATCCGCCTGCCAATGCAGGAGATGCAGGTTCAATCCCTGGGTCGGGAAGATCCCCTGGAGGAGGGCATGGCAACCCACTCCAGTATTCTTGCTGGGAAAATCCCATGGACAGAGGAGCCTGGCAGGGTACAGTCCATGGGGTTGCAAAGAGTCGAACATGACTGAATGACTAAACAACAACAAATTCTGCTTACTGGCAGATATTTTATTCCCTATCTATATGATTACTATTATTGTCTGGTTCCCTAGAATGTAAGGTCCCTGAGGGCAGGGTCTGCTTGTTCCTGGCTGTACCTTGGGCTCCTGTGATAGTGCCTGGCACATAGCAGGCAGTTGACTCTGATTTGTCAAATGTCTCCGCATGGTTGGTCCCTTCTCATCATTCAATTCTCAAGCCAAATGTCATCTCCTCAGTGGCTTCTGGCCAGAAATAACACAAACTCCTTCTCTTTCCTTGCCCCAGCCCTGTCACTCTCTAAGGCAAAACCCCATTATATTTTCTTCTTAGCACATATCACTCTCTGAAATGACTTTAGTTATTTTGCTTACTTGCTTATTGTCTATGTACTTCTCCATCCCCAGCAGGGACCTGTCTGTTGTGTTCACCTCTGTGTACCTCTGAGCTTCCCTGGTGGCTCAGATGGTACAGAATCTATCTGCAGTGTAGGACACCTGGGTTCGATCCCTGGGTTGGGAAGATCCCCTGGAGGAGGGCATGGCCAGCCACTCCAGTATTCTTGCCTGGAGAATCCCCACAGACAGAGGAGCCTGGCAGACTACAATCCATAGGGTCACAAACAGTAGGGTACCACTGAGTCACTAAGCCCAGCTGTCTCCAAGTGTCTACAACAGTGCCAGGCCCATAATAAACCATCAGCAAATGGTCCTTGGACTGGAGAGGAAGTTGCAGGAACATACATAGCTCCCTTCAATACCCACCTTCTGGAGACAGGAATCTGCAGCATTATGAATGTCCTTTACATTTGGAGGCTTCTCACCGTGCCTTGCCCCTTTTTGTGACTGTGTTGAAGAAGACATCTTGGTCTTCTTCTCTTTTGCATTTTCATTGGGTTCCAGGAAAATAGTCACAGGTTGGTTGTCAACCACAATTTGGTGCTTTCCTTTTTTCAAGACTCCATCCTTACCTTCAGTGGAGACATTAAATATACACATACACATAGAAATGAGAGCAATTTCAAATAACCCTCTTACTCATGTGTCTGTACCTTGCCCCGGCACCCTCACAGTAAGGGCTCTTGCCTGCATCCTGGAATGGTGGGTTAACCAGAGGGTGAGGGACCTACTCAAAACTCTAAAAAAAAGAAAGTCACTCAGTCGTGTCCAACTCTTTGCCATCTCATGGATCACACAGTTCATGGAATTCTCTAAGCCAGAATACTGGAGTGGGTAGCCTTTCCCTTCTCCAGGGGATCTTCCTGACCCAGGAGTCAAACAGGGGTCTCCTGCATTGCAGGCGGATTCTTTACCAGCTGAGTCACCAGAGAAGTCCCAAAACGCTACAGAAGGCAGCTTAAGTTCTACCGTAGAAAGGAAAGCTTAATGATAATGGAGTATCATCCACTCGTGAAAAGTCACGTTCCTGAAACTGTCACCAGCTTCCCATTTCAGTGTCATGGAATAATGTTCATCATAAATCAAGTGAGAAGAGCAGGAATTAAAGAGTAGATTCCGGTTTGTAACTACATATATGTTTGCTGACACTCAGAGGAAAAGGCCAGGAGGAAATACACCAAAATATTCGCATTGTTTTTCTCTGGGTGTTTTCTTCTTTATTCTTTTCTCCCCTTTCCTTAGTATCTATAACTCTTGCAGTTCTAAAAAACAAATCAATGGAATGATGATGAAAAACGTCAAAGTGAAATACCCAAGTGACAGGGGTGTCTGGGGACGGCATGGGTGCTCTGTCACCACGCACCAAGGGGGCTCTGACGAGTATCAGCCAGGTCAGAGACTGGGCACTGCGTTGGGGTTGCGTCTGTCAGCAGGAGCCCCCACTTCCTGGCTTCCACCGGACGGTACCAGCCTTTTTCCCACCGTCTCTCCTGGATAAGCTTGAACTGGGTCTGCATGGAACGCCCGGGGGGCCCCTCCAGGGACGGCGACTGCCCCCCAGCCCCGACCCTCAGCTCACCCGCCCTTTGCAGGAACTGCACCCGGAAGGTGTTCGAGTTGGGGTCGCTGCGGTCCAGGGCTCGGACGGTGCACTCCCCGCCGCCCGATTCCCGGCTCTGGAAGTACTTTTCTAGCTTCCATTGGAGGCGGGTGCCGGGATGGGACACCCGCACGAGCAGCGGGGACGGCGGGCAGAGGCTAGAAGCCATGGCTGTCCGCTCAGGGATGGCGCCGCGAGTTGCGACGACGCAGCTGGGCCGGGCCAGGGCAGGGGTGCCTCCGCCCCGCCGCCCTGGGGCGCAAAGTTTCAGTTTCTCTTTCCCGGAGATCCTTCTCGGTTCCTGGCAGAGCCGCACCCCCTCCTCTCTTCGCCGCCCTCCTGGCCGCGGACTGCCAGGTGAGTAGGTCCCATTCTCTGTTCCCGGGGCGGTGGGCGCAGAGACTTCCCGGGGTCCTCTCCTGCGGGCTCGCTCCGGGGGCGGGGAGAGGCGCGCGAGGGATGGGCGCCCAGTGCTGGGCTTCCCCTGGGGAGGGTGGAGACGGGGCAGATGCTCAAGTCAGAGAAAGTTTCTCCTGAGTTTATGATTCCTTTTAACTCTTACTGTTACTGTTATTTGCAGGGAAGATGTAATTCACATTCTAAGTTCAGGTTAAACTTACCTACATTCCTAAAAATTTGAATTTGTTCACCTGAATTATGAACACCTGTTCACCTCTCTGTCACTCGGTGCTTTAGACTGGCTCTTCTGGCTTTCCCGCCCTCCTTTCTCCATTTAGCCAACAGTGCTGAACTTCATGGGGGCTTCCCTGGTGGCTCAGGGTTAAAGAATCCGCCTGCCAATTCAGGAGACCCAGTGACAGGGGTTCCATCCCTGAGTGGGGAAGATCCCCTGGAGTAGCAAATGGCAACCCACTCCAGTATTCTTGCCTGGAAAATTCCATGAACAGAGGATCCTGGCGGGCTACAGTCCATGGGGTTGACTGAGAAGGTATGCACTGAACTGCACGCTGCCCTGTGTACTGTGGTACACAGGTGAGTGCCGAGGTGCCAGACCTCACCTGCTGCTAACTGGAGTCAGACTTGTGACTCAAGAAGCAAAATCTCTCGAAGCCCTCAAGAGGAAGTTTGAAGTAAAGCAGACCCTTAAAAGAGAAGCAGAGGGAGGGATGGGGCTGGTCAAAGGCACAGGGACCACTGTATGTGAAGCACAGAGGTAGCACAGAGGCTTTGGAGAGGATGCGATGGATAATGGAGATGACAGAGGAAGGGTCCAGTGGAATATAATGTGTCTAATAGAAATATTGGGCTTCCCTGGTGGCTCAGATGGTAAAGAATCCACCTGCAATGCGGGAGACCTGAGTTCGATCACTGGATTGGGAAGATCCCCTGGAAATGGGGGGAAATGGCTACCCACTCAGTACTCCAGTATTCTTTCCTGAAGAGCTCCAAGGACAGAGGAGCAAATATAATGTGAGCTACATATTAATTTAAAAATTTTCAGTAGCTAGAATTTTTAAAGTACCCACAGGTGACAATAATTTTATGTTCTTTTGCTCCCTGTATCCTAAATTAACCACTTCATCATGTAATCAATGTTAAAAACTTATTAATGAGATATTTTACACTCTTTTTTGTCATCGTTAGTCATTGCAATCTAGAGTTAGCTCACATTTATATCATCTTTTAGTTGTGTTAAGCCACGTTGCCACATTTCAAGTGCTCCAAGAGCTGCATGTGACTAATGGCCCACACTGGACTGCACAGTTCTAGACGTCGAAAAGTCTTGAAGATTGATAGGGAGATATGGAAGATAGATAAGTAGGGCAAACAGGAGAGTGATATGTCAGATGTGCATTTTAGAAAGGTGGTGTTGGCAATGATGTTGAGGACACATTTCCATGCAAGGGTGAATGGAGGTGGAGAGGCCAGAGATAAAGTTTTTGCACATGTCTGGTAAGACTAGAAATAGGTGTCTTTATACAGAGCAATTTGGCTGTACTATCAGAATTATGACTGTATATTCAATCTTATTTTGCAGGTCTACTTCTAGGAATTTGTCCTGTTGATTGATTAGCACCTGCGTGAAGTGACCTATGTACTAAGTTGTTCTTTATAGCTTTTTTATAATAGCAAAAGATTAGGAACCCCTTACGTGTTCTTAAGGGCTTCCCTGGTGGTTCAGATGGTAAAGAATCTGCCTGCAATGTGGGAGACCTGGGTTCGATGCCTGGGTTGGGATGATCCCCTGGAGGAGGGCATGGCAACCCACTCCAGTATTCTTGCCTGGAGAATCCCCATGGACAGAAGAGCCTGGTAGGCTACAGTTCATGAGGTCGAAAAGAATTAGACACTACTGAGTGACTAAGCACAGCACACAGCGAGTGTCCATAAAAGGGGTTACTAGTAGTTGAATAGCTTACAATGCATCTATATGATGGAATATAGGCTAACATGGAAAGATCTCTAGGATACCTTAAATGGAAAAGGCAAGAGGCAGAACAGGGCATATTAGATGCTACCATTTGAGGATGGGTCCAGGCTCTGAGGAGCACTCTGACCAAAGCTGGTGTCCCAGAGCTTCTTCCCCAAGAGGGCAAAGGCCCAGAAGTGAAGGAGAGTTTGGAGAGCATCAACTCATGCCATTTCACAGCACTGAAGTTCTGTGGGAGCGTTAGGTATGTAAAGGGGAGGCTGGGAAACTGAAATTTCAAAGAGACCCTTGGATGCCAGGCTGAAGAGCTTGAGCTTTACCATAGGCAATGGAGTTTGTTGAACATTTTGAGCAGAGAGTGCTTCTCAATAAATGTCTACTTCATGAGAGTTAAAAAAAAAAAAGCTACCTTTTGTATAAAAATGCCCCTGGAAGGATATTGGTGAAGCTAATAGCATTGATTGCCTCTGGGAAGGGAATTTAGTGAGGGGAGTAGGAGGGAGCCTTTTATACGTTCTATATTTGAACCAGTAAATGTACCTGGTAACTATTCAAACAATAAAGCATAAAATTAAGTACATTTAAATCTTTAAAGAGAATGTATTGCCATAGCTCAGTCAAGAAGCCCTGAAAGCCGTGAAGTGAAGTGGTATCTGTGGGCAAGGAGGGTAGGACCATATCTGAAAGTGATTTAGGTGGACAGGACCCTGTGATGAACTGAATATGAAACAGAAGAGAAGATTCTAGATTTCTGACTTGAGTAGATAAATGGTGTATTGTTTACCAAGCTGTGGAACCCAGGAGATAAAGCATGGATTTTGGAGGGATTGAGTGAGGGTAGGTATTAATGTGGGGAGTGGAGATGAGATTATGGATCCAGATTTTCAGAGGCTATGTTTGAGGGAACTATGGGACGTTCAGGTAGACTTGAAAAATTAGTCTTGGGAGAGCCATAGCCTAGAATTACAGGTATGGGAGTCATATTTGCAGCTGGTGAGTTGAAGTCATGAGAGTAGATGAGATCACATTTGGAGAGTATATAGAAAGAGTTGAGACATGCCTCTCATAAAGTCCTGGGGCAGCTGATGAAGGTTGAATCCAGTGGAAAGGTCTGTAAAGGCAAAGTGAGAGGTAACAAGAACCAAGGGAAGATGGCATTGGAGCAGAGGATCAGGAATCAGATCATGAAATGAATGAAACTAGAGAGAAGGGCCAAATAACGATTAGAACAGAAGAGAGTCCAGTAGGGTTAGCCACCTGGAAGACACTGAGGAGCAATTTCAGAGAACTGGGGTTCGGGAGCCAGACTGCTGTGGGCTGAGCAGGCAGATGGACAGAGTCAACTCCTTCAGCCGCCCATGAAGAGAAAGGAACATAGTAGGACCAGCGATGAAAAGTTGGGAAGGCTTTTGTCGCTGTTGTTGTTAAAATAGAAGAAATTGAGTGTTTTGGGCCATATGCTCCTTTCCTTGTTTCTAATTACTTTGGGGTTAAAAGAGTGCCGCCCCCTACTGACCAGTCTGTCCCAATGCCTTTAAAACTCCCTGGTGGCTCAGTGGTAAAGAACCCGCCTGCAACGC